CCCGGGGGCAAAGGGAGCACCCCCTGCCCGGATGGGGGGGGGGGACACCGGCCCCGCGGAGCCACCGCTGGCCTGGGCCCCACCCTCGCCCCAGGGACCTCCTGGAGTTGAGCCACCAGCGTCCCCAACTCCCCCCTTGACCACAAGGGTGTCCCCAAGAAGAACCACCAGCATCCCGGCCCCCCCAATGTCCCCAAGGAGTCACCGTCATCGTGGCCTCATTGACCCCGGATGTCCCAAAGGAGTCACCGTCATCATGACCCCGTTGACCCCTGGACATCCCCAAGGAGTCACCGTCATCATGGCCCATTGACCCCAGATGTCCCCAAGGAGTCACCGTTGTCATGACCCCGTTGACCCGTGGACTTCCCCAAGGAGTCACCATCATCATGGCCCCATTGACCCCTGATGTCCCCAAGGAGTCACCGTCATCGTGGCCCCGTTGATCCCCGATGTCCCCAAGGAGTCACCATCATCGTTGACCCCTGATGTCCCCAATTAAAGACTCTTCTGGCCCCACTCTTGGTGCTGCCATGGGCGGGGGCTGAGACCTGGTGCGCTCGTGACACGGGGCAGGGCTCAGGCATCCAGGGGAGGGGACCCTTCGCGAGGGGACCCCCGGGTGTCCCCTCCCCACGGGGCCCCGAGGTCGGCCCAGAGACAAGGGATGAGGACAGGGACGATGCTGCTTCCACCTTTAATGGGGACACAGGGTGGGGACACGGGGACAGGATGGGGACAGGGGGACAGGATGGGGACACAGGGATGGGGACAGGGGGACAGGATGGGGACACAGGGACAGGATGGGGACACGGGTATGGGGACACGGGGACAGGATGGGGACGGGGGGTGGGGACATGGGGATGGGGACACAGGGACAGGATGGGGACATCAGGGCAGGATGGGGACATGGGGATGGGGACAGGATGGGGACATGGGGATGGGGACATCAGGACAGGATGGGGACACGGGGACAGTGACACAGAGACAGGACGTCCCCCGGCGCTACGGCACCTCCCACAGTTCCTCAGAGTGTCCCCAGCCTGGCGAGGGGACAGGGTGAGGGACAGGGCTGGCTATCAGATGTCCCCCCCCGTGTCCCCAAAGTCCCTCATGACCCCCGTGCCCCCACCGGTCCCCATACCGTGACTCTCGCTGTCCTCGACGTCCCTGGACACGTCCTGGCTCCTGATGTCCCCAAGGTTGGAGCCAGGTGACGCTGCCCCGCTCCGGCTCTCGCCCGAGCTCCTCAGCCACCCCTGGTGTGGGGGACGTCCCTGGGGACGTGTCCCAGCCCCATGGGGACGTGTCCCTGGCTCTTGGGGAAGCGTCCCTGGCTCTTGAGGATGCATCTCCACTCCTTGGGGACGTGCCCCTGGCTCTTGGGGACGCATCTCCACTCCTTGGGGACGTGTCCCAACTCCATGTGGACGTGTCCCTGGCTCCTGGGGATGTGTCCCTGGCTCTTGGGGACGCATCTCCAGTCCTTGGGGAGGTGTCCCAATCTCCTGGGGACGCATCCCTGGCTCTTGAGGATGCATCTCTGGTCCTTGGGGACGTGTCCCTGGCTCTTGGGGACGTGTCCCTGGCTCTTGAGGATGCATCTCTGGCCCTTGGGGATGCGTCCCTGGCTCCTGGGGACGTGTCCCAACCTCCTGGGGACATGTCCCCAGCCCTTGGGGATGTTGAGCTGGTCCATGGGGCCACCTCCCTGGTCCTTGGGGATGTCCCTCAAGTCCCTGGGCCCACGTCCCCAATCCCTGGAGCCATGTCCCCAGCCCTTGGGGATGTGTCCCGAGTCCTTGGGGACGTCCTCTGTGTCCTTGAGCCCACGTCCCCAAACCTTGGAGCCACATCCCTGGTCCGTGGGGATGTCGGGCTGGACCTTGGGGACGTGTCCCTTGTCCATGGGGACACCTCTGGGGTCCTTGGGGTGGCATCTCCAAGCCAGGGGGTGACCCCAAAGTCCCTGAGCCAGGGGGTGGCTCTGGGGACACTATTGTCCCCGAGGGGCCACCCGGGAGGAGGTGGAGGAACTGGAGCAGTGAGGCCAGGGCTTGTCCCCAAGGCTGCTCAGGGATGGGGACAGGCTCGGTGGGTCCTGCGGGGAGGTGACACAGGCAGGGATGAGGACAAGGACAGGGACAGGGACAGGTCCTCTGTCCCCACAGACCCCATAA